AACTTCGGTGTGATGGTAAAAAGTACAATAGCAAAAGTCTGTTCATTAATTTCAAATTAAAACTACGACATAACATAGCAAGTAAACAAAGCTTTTTATTGACGAAACACAAAGAAAACTTCAAGGAATGTTAAGGTTATAACTATTTATTTAATTACTTTTGTCTTGTTATATTATGTTAAAATGTAAATTGATGTGAAATATATATGAAATGTGAAATATGTGAAATAAAACACCTCGGTAAGAGGACAAGAAAAAAAAATGTTACACGAGCTCCTTAACAATTTAGAATATTCAGACTTATTTAAGAATTTCAAAACATTCAGAATATCATTCAAAAATAATTTCAGCATAATTGAATGATATTTGTCTCAACGAAACTAAATTTAGTAATTTTGAAAGACAATAACATCAGATTGCCGGGTTTAGGTTTTTAACTAAATGAACAGGGAACCCCCCTCAATAATACCTTGGAAAGAACTAACGGGATATTTTTGTGAGGCGGGGGGGGGGGGGGCACAACCGGCCCATGCCCCTCCCCTCTGAAATTTAAGTGGCATATCTTTAGTACACACATCGGAGAATGTTCATCACCTTCCCGCTTCGGTTGTGATGACCGTTTTTTTTTTTTTTTTTTTGTGTGTGTGTTTTTGTGTTTTTTCGTGGAGAAAAAAAAGCCACCGGAAAATCCTGATGACTGAGTCGAAGTATGTGTGAAGTGTGACAAAAGTAATCCCTATTTCGGTGCTGCAAGAAAGCAGCTGCATACTCCTAAAATTAACAGTTTCTAAATGTCAAATCATGAGTAAATCGAGCGAAACGTTGGATCGAATCGCTCTGTATTAGGTGTGACATATTCCGCATTGAAAAGAGTATTGACTGGTCGAATTCTAAGCATATACAGGAAAAAAAATGCAGAAAATACCACCGTTTATAATTCTTATTGATAGAAATACATTTACGTTTGGCTTGAACATGCACCTGCTACAATTTATTCGCGGACAAATTTCTACATTAATTATTTTCTGACTCAAACTCTCAGTCTTACGCTACGTCTAACCAGGGAGGTAAAATAAAGGAGTCGAAACTCTAGTCTAGTGTAACCGCGCAAATTCTGTGTTGCGCGAATAGTAGTTGCGATTCCTTTATACGTAAAACAACACAGGCGGCTTCTTTTGCGGCGGTTTACTCCGCCACATCTTTTAGAGTTCTTCCTGATCGAGGACATGAAAATGAGAAAACTCGTAAAAAAACGTTGAATAGTGACTTGAATATTGGTTCCAGTTTACTGATGGATTCTCACATGAACAGTTTGCCTCTTTTAAGACACAGATTTGTTTACAATATGTAAATCGCCAGTCTGTTGGGTTACTATGGGTTTCTATGGGGAGAAAGACGTCAAGGAAATAGTGTTATTTCATTCTCTCAACCCTTTGTTATCTCTGTGAGTCTTCTCTCTTTTTCTCTCGCTCCCACCACCTCCCCCTTTCTCCATCAACCATCTGTCTCTCTTTTGGATGAACAACTCATGTAGGATATTGAAAATGAATGACATGCACCTGAAGAGGTCATAAAATTCAAGGTGCAATGAAATCGCGCAAAATGGGCAACACCTTTTCTTTTATCAGCAAAAGACTCCCTTCGCATTTCCTCTATCTCTGAATTAGAGCAATTAAGCAAGGACATGTAAGCAAACAGACACTGTTATAAATGTCAACCGTTCGCAACATCTACGTCTGTAGGATGTGTTATAAAGACGCAATTATTTGCACTGCTGATTAAAATGAAAACTCGTTAGTACACAAATTCTTACGTGTGTTTAAATCTAAGGAAAATGTGAAAGGAATATGCATTTTTTTGCACTCAAAATATTGCTGCGAAGAATTGAATTTGTATAAATGTTGTCATTGTAATTTTGTATTCACCTTGATTGTATTGTGAAATTGCCGAATGATAATTAATAAATGAATAAATATGATCAATTTCAAAGAAGTTTAAATTGTCACATGTTTATTCACATATTAATTTGTATACATTTCTCGAGGTATATTTTCGATTTCAAAATACAAGTATTGTGAAAATACCTAGAAATAATGCCGGCTCTTCCTTTTTGTCAGAGTAAGAGTTTTAGATTTGACGGTTGCTATGGATGTAAAGCTCTTTAGGTTCTGAACGCTGGAAGGATGAACAAAAGTCTTTCCTCTTGAAGACGGAGATGGTTTTCTCTGTCACTCCTGAATCCTGAAGATGCATTTTCGTCATTAAATGTTGGTGTGGGGGGGGGGGGGGGGAGTATTTAAGGATGTAGAACGTTAATCCAATTCATAAGTCATGCAAAGGGGAAAGAAGCTGGCAGGAAAGAAATAAGACGAACATTCGTCATTCATCATTTAATATAATCGCCTTAAAAGGAACGCTTTTGTAATGCAATCAAATGTAATGCTCACGTCTTTGTGAAGGGCTCAGACAGATACTAATTTTTCATTCCTATCTTACGATTAATAATTGTATTTCAATAGAATGCGAACTGCAAACGTTACTGTTGCCAGGACGTCATCCTAGTCGAACATCGCTTATGATTGCGGTCTCATTCCCCTTTTTCACAGATAGTTCGGATAATACTTTAAATGTATGATAATATGTTATAGAAATATTAAGTTTCGTTATTATATGTATATATCTAAAAAAAAAAAAAAAACTTAAAAAAAACATGTTGACATGAAATTATTATTGTTTGTATATTTTATATTACTTACCTCTGTTGGGCTTTGTTATTCAGTTATTGTATTTGGAAAAATGCAGAACTAAAATATTAAAAAATCAAATCAAACATTATGGCTCGCCACACCTAACAGCACGTAATACATGCAAGTTGCATTCTGACAAATGAAAGACAATTATTAAACACAGGTGAATGAAATATTTGTATCGAGAATTGATTACATTACGAAAATGGTCTATTAACGATTAATGAAGCTGAAAAGGGGCATTACTACCACTACGACAAATACCAACATCGTATATTTTATCATGGTAGTCATGGTAACATAAATATGGAGTTTTGACCTTTGTTTAATTCCCGTGGGAGAGGATAGACAATTACAAAAACAACGATGCTTGCAGCGACTTGAGCAACATGAAATAATTCCGCTTTCGAAAGAGAAATGGAAATATAAAAATACTGTATACTTGTCACTGATTAATTCTTAGGGTTGTCCTTGTTCAAATATGCCGTTCATTAATTCGTTCTCTGTAGATTTTTTTTTTAATAAAGCGATTAGTGAGATTAGGACGTCGTATTATTTTTATGCATATCCTATCAGGCCAAATAACAAAAATAACGTGTTTCTCGACCGGACTGTTAAAAAAAAGGAGGAGGCGGTGCATTACTATTTAATATTTTGCAGTTTTTTGCATTTTCTCCAAGATGGCTGCCATGCTAATCATAGCTGCCCAAGCCTATTTATTCACAGATATTTTGCTAAGTGAGTATGCTGATACAAAGTATGACATATCAAATGATATGTATCACTTTAGAAGCTATGTAAAAAAAATCCATATCACAGGATTTTTTTTCTTCTTCTCTGAATAGTAAATATTTTAAAAGAGGAGGCGGCGGCCTTATCTGATTTTTGTTTTTATCACTGATTAATTTTTACAAAGTATGTAAAACGTTATAATTCTGATTATTTCTATTACGTGTACTTTTTTTTTTTTTCCCCAGATCATCTCAATCGTTTGTAAATACCTTAATTTGTCATTAATTTCTTTTGTAACACAGCATTTTTTTTGGTGGAAAGTTTGTATATGTTATGATTTGATTTCTTAATAAAAACATTTAAAAAAAAGTATGCAAAACGTGGTAAAGAATTAGAGGGGGGAGGGGGAGGTTCGGGGTTACGAATTGAGGTGACGATAGCAAAATGTCAGTGTGGGCAGATCAAAGAGAAATCTGCGTGAGTGATCACTTATCATACGCACACATACCTCTTGAGGTTATCAGTATGTTAGGCCAAAAGCATTCGTTAATTCCTCCTGGGGATTTGCAACTGATTGATAATCATCTTCAATAGGCCACTATAAGGTAAACTAATTTAAATGCACAAATCAAATTATATAATTTATAACATAATATATATGATTATATTAGTTGTTGCTATGGGTAGGAGAAACATTTTGGCTTGTCCTACCAAGCAACAAATAATATATGCAATTTGCATTCTGACTATTGAAAAAAACATAATTATTCATAACAGGTGAATGGAATAAATTGTATCATGGAACCAAAAATGTATGCATTAAATTGGTTCATCATCATCAATAGTGATCTGTCAGTTTATGACAGGTTCAGTCATAAATTCAAAATTCTATATCAAGTGTCTCTCCAAGTTTCTCTCCAAGTTCCTCGGTCTTGAGCCAACCGTTTCATCGTTTCATACCCTGTTGCTCCACATTGTGTGATTGAATCGTCTAGAAAGCCTTTACGAGGTCTTCCCCTCTATTACGAAAATAGTCGATTAGAGTGGTGGAAAAGACGAACTTGGTCACGTGACAACCAAACCAATCTTAAAGATTGAATACATCACATCGCGATCATCATTGCCGACATTATGTGCAACGTTCTATTAAAACTTACAAGCAAGGAGCATCGTAGGTTTTATTTGTTGTAATCGCTCGTCCTCAGTGAATGCTACTCGACCGCGCTCAACAACTGTCTTGCACAATGATAATGTCATCACCTACTACATGATTCCGTAAGCTTTTGGGGTGCTTTATTAGTTCGTTTATACGTGAGACGCTATTTGCAATCATATATATCCGTTATTCTTCATTTACAAGCTTTCCCTTGGGATCAGATGCTTCTACGCTTTCAATACAGCTCATCACCAAGTTGTCAGATGCTGACTGTATAGAAACAAAGGAAACGGTCGTGAATGGGTTGAGAAAAATTCGTTGTTTGTTTTTCTAATACTCAAATTGTACTCCCTGTCACTTGTAAAATGGACGTTACGGCAATAGTGGCTGTTTCGCTGTTCACGATCATCTTCGTTGTCGGCGTGCCAGGAAATTGTTTGGTGATTTGGGTTTTCGCAAAGAAATCTCGCAAAACGACAACGTCCTTTTTGATACTGAGTCTAGCGACCATCGACCTCTGTGCCTGCTTGATTGCTCCTATTCATCTGGTAAGATCACTGGGTGGTGTTTTCATCAATGCATTCTTTTGTAAATTCAGCATTTACGGTAGCCGTGCCTTTTCCTTTTCGGCGGTTTACCTGACGACATTTATCGCACTTGATCGCTACATGGCCGTATGTAAACCTTTGGAGATTAGATCAAATGCGCGTAGGATCATTGCAGTGATTCTAGTGAGCATCGGACTAGCCGTATCAGGAAATATTCAATTTGCATTGTTTGTGAAACCAGTCCAGATTGGTCCCGTCAAGAAGTGTATTTACCGAGGTGGACCCGACTGGCTTGATCTGAGCAATGAAATATTCACCTCTATATCGTACCTACTAGCACTGATTATCTGCACTTGCGTTTATGTCAGGATCTATCTAGAAATTCGCAAACAGATGAAGGTTCGGGCAGGACTTGTAGGAAATACCGGTCAAATATCGCTTAGCGCCCAACGTCCAGGAAATACAATCAGCAATGGTCGCAGATTTGTAACAACGGATGGTGACGTCGGGACCAACAAAAGGGTGACATCAAGAAAATGTGACCTTCCGAAGCAGGGAGAAACTATGGCGATTCTGTCTGGAAATCATATACAGGACGCTAGCAACAGTGTCTCTGACTTATTTTCCTCTGGAGGCAGCGTTAGTATATTGACACGCCCAACGTCCAACGGCAGTCCACCGATAAACCCTGTGGAGATGGGAGCCGGACATCTCCAGCACCCCAAGGCACCCGCCCGTGTACCCCAACAGGACGCTCCGTCTGAAGACTGCTCCACCTATCCTGAAACCGACAACCAAGACAACGCCGGCCGACCAACAAGGAGAGACATGGCTAAACCATCCCAAGGCAATCGGCAGAGAAAAGAACGCATCATGACGCGAATGTTGCTCGGGACAAACCTCATCCTAATCCTGTCCTGGCTACCATCTTTCATCCTCACCAATGTCCCCGATGAGGCAGTAGCTGCGTACCGCGCGAAGGCATCACAAGGCATCGTTGTTGCATTCTCCTACCAGTTGCGAACCCTTAATCACATTGTCGGCATCTTTGTTTACGCACTCCTTAACGCAAATTTTAGAAAAGATTGTAAAGCCATATTTTTGAAGTGCAAAAAGTAAATATGGCACATTCGTTCGACGAGGTGTTTGTAAAATGACTTCGTCTGCGCATTTTCATTAAAAAAAAAATTCGCACAAACCTTGTACTATGTTAAAAGCATTAGAATCATGAAAGAAATTTTTTCACATTGTCTTGTTATCACTTAATATGATATTATTGCATTGTGTCACGCGATATATCTCGTGGTTTGGTGTTTGTTTTAATTTAAATCGATGTGCTTGATATTTTAAGCTAGGACAATTAGAATGAATGAACAGTTATTTGATTTGTGATACTTTTGTCATATTATAAAACACCATGTGCCTCTGTAACTTACGTGTACACCGACTGTATCGTAGTATTTTTGTATGATCAAGGATTGCTTCGGAGCGCCTATTATATTTTTGTTGTTGGCAAATCAGTATCACGGCATATTCAGAGTTCCTTGGATGAAAGTGCCTGTAATTTGTATTGGAAAAAAATCATAGCTTTATATGAAATAATAGCTCCACAATAACGAAATCGCTTTATGTTGCACTGGATGTTAAAACTGATTAAATTTTAATTTCCTGCACATAATCCCTTGATAATAAAATTGACATACGCAGACTAATCACTCCTATAAAAAAATTGTTAAAAGAAAATGTAAACTTTGTACGAATGCACGTGTTGCTTTTATCCTATGCCGCTTCACTTTGGATTGTAAGCTTTAAAGTAATGCAAGCTTATTGTAAGCTTTAAATATACGTATATATAAATATATAAACATATATATATAAAGGCATACCACCGCGGTCCTTTTTCATATATCTGGACAAGCCTTAAATGCCAAACTGAAAGTAATTATGGGCTACACTGCGGTTTACCCTACAGTCATTGCGAAATTACCATAAATCTATAAAGTGTTATAAAGTGTCGTGAGCTTATGAGTAATTTATGTAATTAAAATCCAACATAATATATTGATGATATTATAATTGGTTTGCTATTCACCATCATTTTCGTCTGAAAGTGTGTTTTCATTTCTTTAAACATAGATATCCATCAAAAGCAAACCTTAATCAAAGATGTGATTTAAACAAAGATTCAAAGTACCGCTACTAGTAATATTTTTCGGGGATGTTTGACGAACGTCATGGTTGCAATAAGTTGCGATAGGAACAACGAGATAGAAATTTAGAAAGCAAATTGTGTCCCTGGAAACCAAAGCGATACGTCTCTTTGTATTTTAGTCATGTCGTTTGGGTTTCAAATTCTTCAACATGGCAATATTCCCCTTGTGAACTTTACACGTTTTTATAAGAAAATCAACAAAATTTATAGAAAACAGACACAAACTCTTTAAAACATTATACGATGATAATCATCCCTACGAACACCTCCATTATAAATTTATATTGAAATTTGAATACTTGGTGTTATGGCCATGAAAGTAGAAAAGAATGCAAAACAGTACTTGGAACAAAGTTTTTTAAAGCATAAATACATAACAATTTGCACATTGATAAACATAAGTATTGCAGAAGAATCAGCGGTGTATTAATTGTTTTTTTTTTCTTTCTTGGCAGCAAATGGCATGCCCCGAGTTCGTCATACCTTAATTTACCCTAAAATATTCTGAAAATAAATCGTTATTGGAAACAGACAGTGGATGATACATTTGTAAATGGTATTATTAACCAACAACAGTGTGCAAAATGACTTGAAGGTTTTGCGTGCATGATTGGTCGATATGATAGCCTAAAGGTGGGTATGTCATATTGGCTTTCCGGTGATAAAAAATGCTCACAAAAGAAATGCCCTGAATAAAATGTTAGGCCGACCTCATTCATTCTCCGTGGCGGTTTTCAACAATGCGACAGAAAATAGATTAAAAAAGTAGAAATATGTCAAACTTGACGACGATGGAAATTCCCTTTCCCATTTGTCACATTTAAAGATAAAGGTGAGTTCTGGTAATGCCATTGCGTTGTGAAAGGAAAGGTGTGGAATGGATCAGAAAAAGTTGATCATGTAGGATGTAAGTATTGGCGTGCACTGCAAGGTTCTGGAGTCATCAAAATCATAATAAATTTGGCCCAGTCTTGGTAAAGTAACAAGCACTGTACACAGAAAGATGTAAATGGGACTACACAAATGGTGTCGGGGTTAGTACTACCTGATTTTCCTATCTTTCTATGCTTATTACTCAGCCAGTATACATTTTCTTCCAAAATTGTTTGGCACATGACATTTATTTATAATCTTGAACATTCCGTGTAAGTTTTGTTTGATTCTGTGAGAATTCATTTTCTTTTTTTTTACCACTAGAACTCAAGTTTATCTTTAATTCATCAACCTGTTTTGCTTCAGACGAGGTATGTAAAGAAGAGGAGAGGATGATTGTATCAGTTGGTATTAAATGTGATATACCGCTAGACAGCTATATCATCAGGGTAAATTATGCCGAGGAAAATGTCGTTGCCGAGTCACGCGACAAAACCGCGGCGGTATTTTCTTATGATGACGTACGGTGTCATACGCTTCACAAATCTGTTTTTGTTTGGTTTATAACACAGAGCTCAGTGAATACGCGCAAGCCTTTGTTGCGCGCATTTGCCATTCATTTCCACGCAAATAACCGCGGCGGGTTATCTGAACAAGCCTTTATCGTCTGTTTGGCAACAGACGTCCATTCTATCTTGTTATCACGTTATTTAAACGGTTATCGATGGCATTGTACGCTCCTGTTACAATATCCTTAAATAGCGAAGACTGACACCGTCTTTACGGCAGGCAAATTACACCTCGTGTGCAACTGGCTTGTAGGGCCTTGTAATAACTTCACTTGAATGAAAGCAGAAAATCAGAGAATTCAAACAGAATGGCGAAAAATTCAAAGAGAATCAGCCCAATAAATAAGAAAGTTATGAATATTTGAAATCTAATAACATCAATAATATTGGGTTCTTGTATAGAGCTCATATCTGTTATACCATGGACTTAATACGGATGGACATTCAACGTGATTCTTTCTTTGATCCAATCATAGTCGCCGCCTTCTGACTATGTGCATCTTAATGAGAACATTCAGCTGTTTAAACAATAACGACCGCGTAAGCATTTTCGGTCATTGACAAAGGAGCAGTTTCCCTCTCTTGGGTTTTGTTTGGATGGTGTGCTTTGTAAGAGTGTGTCTTAAATAAAAGCATCCTCAATGGGGAGCAGCAAAGTTGAAAGGCAGACGATTTTGGTGATATGAAATGTATTATTACTGATTCGCAAACTTTCGCACACACCTATGACCTTATAAAACAATTAGAAGGCCATGATCTTTATAAGCCCGGTGCGTTGTAACTCTGGAATATTATGAGGAAATAGGGGGAAACGGGATTTTAAATCACAACCAAAAAATCCAAAAATAACCTCTTTCTGGTAATATCAACATGTTTTTCAAAAAAAAAAAATACATGTACAGTACACGGAACAACAATTTTCTATCTCCATGATTTAGGCGAGTATTTATCTTCTGCGCATGTAGGTAACCATGATGAGACCAAAGGAAAGAAACATGTACGGAATATTATTGAGACGACATTGACGGAGACACAATGAATTCGTTAAGAAAACGATAAATGTCCATCCGTAATAGGTCCATACTTAACACTCCTGGCGCTCCGCAATTATTACTCCGGCCTTAGCATGGCTGCCATTACAGCGCTTTTGTATTTCAAGGAATTAATTCCTGCCAGGTAGGCCTAAATGAGACCATTACATCCAATTAATCCCAAAGTGGTAATTTCTTTGGTGGGTTGTGACGTAGTCGCTGATAATTGTCTTGTTTGTCGTGTACACAAATATAACTATGTTCTGTTTTTTAATGTCTTCACCCTTGGGGCGCTATACATATATCTTGGAGAGTTTATTGTTACAGTAACAGGTCCTTATAACATAAAAGTCTATCCCGAGTTATATTTTGTTGTAAGGAGGGCTTTTTAATGGGAAAGCTCTTTGCTGTTGCCGTTGTCGATCGGATATGACAAGCCCTTAAACATGTTTTCAATCATTACAAAACGATTTGTATTATTAATGCCTTTATCTTTAAACATGGGTTTTATGCATACAAATTTACATGTCTCCACAGCTATTATCTTATAGTATGTTTCATTCTACCTTACAATATGACAATCTCAGTTGCCAGGGAACTAATGTTCCGCTTAATACAACTTACATGTACAAATTCTCTCCCCCTATTCCTTATAAAATTTCTCTCTTTCTCTCTTTCATTGTGCATTGTTTACATAATGATTGTTTACAAACATGTACAAATTCTCTCCCCCTTTTCCTTATAAAATTTCTCTCTTTCTCTCTTTCATTGTGCATTGTTTACATAATGATTTACTTAAGAGAAGGACGTCAGTTCAAGCTTTTTCTATGACGACCATTTTTTTAATAACCATTTTGGGTATTGGAACAAATGAAAATGTTTTCCGGATCTGGATTACAGTAACATTACCATCAGCTAATTTGAAATGCCTATATACGTATAGTGATAACAAGTTTCAAACATTCATAATTTTCTTTTTTGGGGTCAGATTTCGTTCAAACTTTCACCAGTATGCTTCTTTGATTTTGTTTTTAAACAGATGTTTGCTATTATAATTGGATTTCCATCTAATTTGTGTTACATAATTTAACAATCTTTCGATTCCATACAATGTATACAAAAATGTGCACTACAGAGGAAGGGGGGGGGGAGGAGGCAGTGATAAAGGAAATTTTAATGTCTGAATCGAGGCGGGTGTTTCCACCGCGGGAGCCCCCTATAATTTGCAAATCATGAGATAATGTGTATTCAACAAAATGTCCTCCTCTTGCTGCGAAAATGTCCCTTTTGTGATAAAGAGGGGACCCCTCCCTTTGAATGTGAAATACGATTACTTTCGCAAATTCATTTGCGTTAAAACACTGTCTTCTTCCTTTGATGACAACGACAGATAAACAAAAACAGAAACCCACAAAATAACTCAACCCATCCCCACAAAAAAGTAAACATTTCGATGACGAATATGAAAGCAGAAAATGTCCTCTGCTCCTAACCTTTTCCCTATCCTGAAAATACACGTGGGTCTATGGTCA